TGAGATCACGTTTCGAGTGCGTAAATCCTACAGCGGGCCGGATTAACAGATGTGATTTCTGATTCTTCATTCTTGTTCAGGTGTTATGTTGTCCGTACAACTTAAATACGTTATTCAAAACGCGACGTAACCATTTCTCTGACATCTTGTGTCCGTTTCACCTGAGGTGTTATGAATGCTGAGAGAACTTCGTATGTGTATTTATTATATGTTTTTTTTTTCACGTGACCAAACCAGAGCCAACTTTACATCAGCATTGCTATTGCTTGAGGTACATCCAGTATGTCCCTGATGCGACATTTAAGGCCTGGTTCCTCGACACCACACACACCCAATTCAGCATTCGTACTTGAACAGATTTAGCTGATGCTCGTATCTCTTCATACTATTCACAATTTAGCCCCAAACTACCGTTTGTGTTTACAACTTGTTATTTATCCTTTTCAGTTAATTCTGTTAAAAACTGACAGTCTTCGATGACAAACTAATTGCATTCACTTTAAGTACGCCTTAAAATCATTCACACGCTGAAACAGTCAATATCTGGAAGTTAATCGCAAGCAAAATTCTATCACATATGGCACTTCGATCCCCAGACATTCGTCAGTTTTTGCTGTACAGCAGCATGTAGGGATAAAGGGCGCTAAAAAAATACGGTGAAACTCGGTGAGGAGAAAGAATACTAACTAACACATTTCAGGAGTTCGAGTCCAGTATAATCAGAAAACGGCGTTGACCGTAACGTCAAACGCTAAAGTCGTCCATTTACCTCAATGTCCTTCAAAAACTTGACCAAGCAGTTCCAGCTAACTGCGCAAACTGATGTATTTTCGTCATCCAGCGATTTCAGAATTAAGGCAACCACCTGCTTTCGCTTGGATTCCATCTCAGCTGGCAGCGCTTGGTTCACGGCCATCACAAAACCTAACCACACTGCACGTGCCTGAAAAATGCAGTGTTAGACACTGGATATGACTGATTAGTGGACATTCGTACCGAAAGAACCGATGAAGGAATCTCCCAAAAAATCTTCTTGTCTAATAGCGACTTAATCGGCTCTTTCAATGCATCAGTATTCAGACCTTCCGTGCCGATGAACGTCGTCATGGTGCCTAATGAAAGCATCAAGCAAAACGCCTTCTTTGCATCTTTCCTAAAAGCAACACCGCAATGGCAAAATCGATAAAAACCATGTAATGTGATTGGAAAAAAGATATTCTATTCACAGGATTTAACCAAGCTTTGAATTTTAGAGATTTAGGCCAATCAACTGAAAACGCGATATGAACTTCTTTAAACGTTAACTGTAGAATTAGCGAAAAGAATGCAAGTATGCTTCATTAAAATGTTCGTATTTAAACAATTTAAAATGGTAATACTGCCGGTGGTTAAATATTTCTTCGTTCTTAGTTATTAGCGTACTGCTATAACAGCTGAGAACTGTTCAACAGAAGAGAAAGTATAACTTCTCAAGGGAACTGGATAATATCAATTTTATTCAGTTCTCAACTTGCTGCATCATTACACGCTTCTACACAGGTAACCGGCGAATTTACAACGGATGAGCGGCGTTGCGAAAATACATGTAGCTATGAGGGACGGCTTGCGTTAAGAAAGATTGGTGGTTATGATTCATACATGTTATGGTGGATGGGCTGAATTGAGATTTAATCCAGGAATTCTTTAAAATGAAATTCTCGTCTTCAACAACGATGCTTATTTCGTTCATCAACATCAGTAACACTTTCGTCGATTCTGCTGTCATTAACGGTCTTAAGCAAATCTTATAGAAGCAATTTTGAGCCATGCTACGAATGTGAA